TATAAGTGACAAGAAAATATTTTGCCGTTGAAAGGCGACGCCAGGTGGGAGGTTCAGAGGGATGACGAATACGGGCCAACATGTGTATGGTGAAGAACCCATTCCATAAGGATTGAACCCATCAGTTGCCAAATTGTAATGCGTACATTACGAGCCTCATCGGCTTTGTCGGTATGCTTCGATCGAAGCTTTTCCATGATTCACCATCGGACGGATGTATCATCTTGTCGATGTATCGGCGCCCGATTTTGTGCCACGTCATCTGCTTTATGGATTCCTCGCTCATGAAAAGCCGTTGGATCCTCGGTATGAAAGGAAGGTACCTCGGGATCTTTGCGCCGACTTTTGTTTGCGTCTTCCGACCATCACCGATTCTAACTCAATGTACCTAGATGCCTTACACTTTGGACAAGACTTATCGTCGCATGTTCTCCCCTCGAATAAGATGCATCCGTTCGGACAAGCATGTATCCGCTCGCATCGACATCTTGAGTGCACGAAGGATTTTATTTGACTCATATGTGTTCTTTGGCGAACGTGATCATCCGGAAGTAGGGTGCCAACTCATCTTGATTGATCGAAGGATTCTCTACTCCGGCTAAACCGGGACTTCACGACCATTAGACGTGCAATGGCATCCGGTTTAGAAACATTGGTGCGCTTCGTGAAGGGGTTGTTGTGCCGCATCCAACATGGCGTAAAATGCCTTTGCAGTTTGCTCGCTCTCGCTCCGCACTTCCTTCATCGAAAGCCATGTCATGGTCATTTAACATTTCGCCACCGGCCAGAATCAAACTCCTCGATCCGTTGTCTCACGACCTCTTCTCTCGCGACGATGGCGTTCACCATGCATGGTCCACGGGTATAGTTCTCTACAAATCCATTGTTGACAAGATCTTTACTCATCTCCTCATATGTTTTCATTGCCTTGTTCTTACACTTCGTGACATGGGACACCCGGGCATGTCGCCGTCCGTTTGCAAATGCCTTCGTCATGAAATCATTGGCCTTCTCAATCCATTCATTTGTGTATTGACCCCTCTTCTGATAGCCCGTGTACATCCACTGACGGTCATCCATCCTAACATATAGACGATATTGCAGTTTAGAGCAATAGAGTAGTAGTGCTAGAGAAAAACCATATGAGATGATAAAGAGACATTCATGTTCTTGGTCGATTCACATAGAAGATGTTTGCTAGATTGGATGATGAGATTTTACCTAAGGTTGAAAGGCCGCTATGTCACTTGTAGATGGAGGAATACATGGAACCAATTTTTTTGTAGCCACAACCATCACTAGCAAGATTTATCGAAGATTGAGGTAGAGCATCAGCAGGTTTTGTAGCGTGTCTCAACCATATACCCGAGCACCAGCGCGCGCCTAGCAGCACAACCATGTGGCTAGCACACAAAGGGGCGCTAGGTTCTATCGCAGCACTATAGGTCACATGGCATGACACTACCACAAACAAATCACCGATGACAAGCCCTAGTTACTAATGAATAGATTGTTCAAAGATTTTGGACAACAAGAGTGATATATTTAGCAAGTGGAATACATGTTGATGAGATAGGTACATACTTGTTGATAGCATGAGAAACTTGGACTGGATCATGTGGAAAAAAATTAACAAAAGATTGGATAATTTCCATATATTTTGGACAGAAAGGCAACCAATATATAAACATGTATGCTTATGAAAATTATTATCGGTGTCGCAGCACTAAAGGGTAAAAACTGCCACTTCTCCTTTGAGGAGATCGATCAGAAGACATTCAGTAGCAGCAGCAGCTAGCTAGCTTCTTCTGACCGAATCACTGATCAGCTTAAAGCATTCAGTATGCAAAGCTGGCCGTGCCCGGCCGGGGATCATCGACACACACAAACATACTACTACTACTAACCAGCTGCAGCAGGCCGGTCCTGTGCCATGCATGCCTCCACATTCTCCACTCTCCCCACTCTGATAAAAGATGGCAGCGGCCGGCTAGCCCAGGCACTGCAGAGAGAGATGAATAATGCAGGATATGCTAAAGTGGTAGAGAGAGAGAGAGGACTGCTTTAGGGGCCCCACCCATGGCTGCTGCACCCTGCAATGGGGCAACGGGCAACGCTGATCGAAGAGAAAATAAGAACAGGTGGCTTGTATTTTTGTTCACAGGATACTTCTCAGATTTAGACAGGTGGCTTTATTTGTTTCCTTAACCTTCATATTGGGGTTGCATATCATAAATACTGAACTTTGTTTTCGTGTAGTCAGAGCTTAAAACAGTGAAGCGTAGGTTGCTTGATCAATGTGGCATGCAGGTTGTTTGATGTGAAATCAATTTATTATATACCATGAGAAATAACTAGAGGTACCTCTATGATGTATGTAATTTGTAGATCAACTATTAGTCTATTCTTATGTGTTAATTGTCTCCTCTGTTAATTACAGGTCAAACCTAGGCCACCAAGGTTACAAGTTGAGATATATGCTTCAAATGGTTTCTACAGTCTTCCAGTGATACCAGTTTGCACGCGATCAACGTCGTGCCACGCTGCCAATCATCGATGATAGAGGGCACCATGAACTGATAAGGACATGAGGCAAAGGTGACACCATCATTGTCAATGTTTCTTCAGTTTTCCAGTTGTTGCAATTTGTCATTATTTTCCTGAAGTTTTTGCGTCTTTCAATGTTTTATTCAGTTGTTTTGTGTTTCATTGTTTGATTTGGTCTTTTAGACTTTTAGCGAATGATTCAAACTATTGCAAGGGCCAGTTCAATCTCAGAACTCACTTTGTTTATTTCCTTATTAACTTCATCTCTCTCTCTCTCTCTCTCTCTAATTTGCTGCTTTCTCTCTCCTCTTGCAAACATGCATGATCCGCGGCAACTATGCATGATCTCTCTCTCTAATTTGGAGCACCAGCAAAATAAATACTTCTCAGAAAGCCTGTTCAAATTCAATCTTAGACAACTATGCAGTAGCATTTTTTTTGGATAGAATCTACAGAAACTTCTCTTACGAAAGCTACAAATCTCAGATTACTATTTTCTTACATTGATACTTTGCATCTACTACCCAAGTAAACCACAAAGCACAACACACGGTTCGCCGGCGCCTCTGTTCTAGTGTTCTAGCGAGGATGATGAAGATGAAGAGCCTCAGAATACCTCAGAAAAGGGTGGACGATTGGATGGAGTTGGAGCCGGGGGCTGCGCGTCCGCGTGCTCGGTGTCGAGCGGGAGGCCGGGAGCTCGTCGGAGTCAGACGACGCCGTGGATCGCCCAGGTGTCCAGCGCGCTCGCGTCCAGGACGGCCAGCGTCGAGCTGGAGCTTCAGCCCTTCCTTTCCCCTTCTCCAGCTGCTTCGTCTTCCACCGCGCGCGCCGGTTCTGCGACGGCGTGGAGGGGAGGAGGCGGCCGCGGCGGTGGGGAGGCGACGGCGACGGCGGGGAGGCGCCGGCGTCGGCGTGGAGCGCTATGGGCGCAAGTGCGCGGGGGACAGGGAGGCGCCGGCTGGGGACGGCGGCAGCGGTGCGGCGGGGATGCTTGTGGCGCGGTGTGTGTGTGTCTCGCACGATTTGGGGAGAAACGACTAAGTGAATGCCTCTGTTTCGAGTGCCTAGATATACGGCACTCGGTAAACTCAAGCACCGCAGCCCAATTACATGTGGGCCTGGTACATGTTTACCGAGTGCCCAGATCTACGGCACTCGCAAACAGAAGCCTCCAGCTTACGGGGACATCCCACTGCTCACCAAGATTTTCGCCCAAAGCCTCGACGTGAAGGACCTCGCCGTCCTCTCCGGCGCCCACACACCCTGGCACGGCGCACTGCCCGTCCCACGCCGACCGGCTCTACAACTTCAGCAGCGCGTACAACTCGGACCCATCCCTCGACAGCGAGTACGCTGACAGGCTGAGGACGCGCTGCAAGAGCGTCGACAACAAGGCCATGCTTTCTGAGATGGACCCTGGCAGCTACAAGACCTTCGACACCAGCTACTACCACCACGTCGCCAAGCGGAGGGGGCTCTTCCAGTCCGATGCCGCGCTCCTCGCGGACGCTACCACTAGGGAGTACGTCCAGCGCATTGCCACCGGCAAGTTTGACGACGTGTTCTTTAAGGACTTCAGCGAGTCCATGATCAAGATGGGCAACGTCTCCGTGCTCACCGGTGCAGTGGGGGAGATCAGGAAGAAATGCTACATCGTCAACTAAAGTATATATTATCAGCTCGCTAAATCATTGATTTTTTTAATAAGTTTAACTCCATGAGATGATAGGGCGCATGTCTGTCTGTTGTTCCTCAATGTAATGTATTAATTATATTGCTATAAATTCATTCTTTCTCTGTACGATAATGTCAATGGTGGCAGATAAACTGGAGCGCACATTATATATTTCATATACACTTGTGACATAAGTACACATATATGTACTGGAAGACAAAAAAAAATAACAATCTAGAAAAATTCATATAAAATAACAAATGAGCAAAATGCACCATAGGTCCATTACCGTTTCGCCCGGTGTCACTTAGGTCCAACACCTTTCTAAATGCAGGTCTTACACGATATGTATCTAATTATCATAAAGAATGAAAATTTTGTGAAATATAGTAAATAAATCGAAATAAACACCATATTTTGGAATGGAGTACTAAATATCATATGTGGATAGAGGAAAAAGAATGAAGGGAAAAACAAGAAATTTGGTTGAATTTTACCGAGTGTTGCGCCAGTACACTCGGTAAAAGATAGTGTTTACCGAGTGTTGTGAACTTACACTCGGTAAAACTTTATTATTACCGAGTGCAAATACTTATACACTCGGCAAACATGTCATGCCGTGACGCCGTTTGGCGCACGGTTGGTATACTAGGAAACGTGGAAGCTCAACACCGAGTGTCTCTTTTTACCGAGTGCGCCCCTTCGGTAAAATTGTAGTTCTACCGAGTGTTTGAGGTAGGTTATTATATATCTGCCCCCCTGTCTGGGAGTTAGGTTATTCCTCTTTCGCCTCTTCCATTGAATCCATAGGAGGTGCTGCAGATTTCATCTTAGCCTTCTTCAGTGTTTCCACTAAACCTGCCAAGCAGTCATCTGCTTCTCTCCTCCTCTTGACCCGCAGCATGAGCTTACCGGCCACGTCTGCCGGTGCCCCATTCATCTCATCGAGCAATCGATCGATTTCACCGTTCCTCTTGCCCCGCGGCATGAGGTTATCAGCCACGTCTGCCGGAGTTGTGTCGATCTCATCGAGCAGTTTCCCGATTTCACCGAATAGTGAATGCTCAGTGATGTCTAGATAGCTCTTAGCGAACATCTTGAAGGCCTCGAACCGGCAGTAGGACATCTCAATGTGCCTGTCCATCTGTCATGTGGGGCACAGCGTATGCGCGACGCCGCCGGGCGCGCGACGTCCGCAGGGCAGCCGAGCGGGCCGCGGAGAGCGAGGGGCGCGCGCGCGACGCAGTTGCCGCGTCTATCGCGAACACAGATGGCAGGGCCAATCCTAGTGGCTAGGAGGAGATCAGGCCACAAAATTAGGGGGGTTTGTTTCCAAAATTAGTTGGCCGGTTAGCCCTTATATGGATTGTACTCGGACTATTGGAAATTAAGCAAGATCAATTACCTATCTCCTTCTTCTCTCTCTCTATCGTGCTTAAGCCCAGGCAGCTGTGAGGGGTATAACCTCCGCCCTGGAAGACTTGGCCGGAGGCTACGAGCTCCGTAGTCGAGGGCCTGCTACCCGGGATCAGTACGCCCTTGACACCATCCTACCCCGCCGGATCAGCGCCGGGTCGAGCCGGTCAACGTGGTTCGTGGTGAACACGAAGATCCGCTCGCTGCCACAGGCCGACCACAGCCCGTCGACGAAGCTGAGCAGCCCCGACAGCGTCACTTTGCCTTTGTTATTCTTGTCGGACAGCTCTATCACCAGGGGCTTGTCGTCGTTCTCTTCGGCTGCCTCCTTTGCCCTTGCGCTTGGTGGTGAGTTCGACCTCGATCGCGTCGATGTCCTCGATAACGATGATGGATCTGTCCGTCGTATCAAGGAAGAGCTTCCGCAGCTCGGCGTTGTCCTTGATGGATGTTAGGTTGAGGTCGTAGACATCATACTCGAGGAAGTTGGCCATAGCCCCGATCATGGTGGACTTGCCTGTGCCCGGCGGCCCATGCAGGAGGTATCCCCGCTTCCACGCCTTGCCGACCTTGGAGTGGTACTCTTTCGCCTCACGGAATGCCGTGAGATCCTCCATGATATCGACCTTCTTGCTGTGGTCCATGGCGAGCATGTCAAACGTCGCCGGGGGATTGTACGGGACATTGATCCACTTGCTCTCCCCTTGTTGGGAGTGGTTGGTGAACAGTTGCCTCTGCCGGTTCGTGGCGAATAGCTCGCGCCACTGCCGGACGACGCTGGGCAGGTAGGAGTCGAGCACAAGTTTGCGGTGGCGCTTGTGAAACACCAGCCTGTAGCACCGAGGCTCGTCGGAATCCCCAGACAAGAAGCTGAGGACGATTCCTCCCTTGTTCTTGGCGGATTTGGGGCACAGCCTCCACCACATGCGGGCTCCGTCGAAGTTGTCGATGACCTCCTGGTTCTCGTCCAGACTGATAAGCGGGTCGTCCTTGCTGTTGTTGCCGAGCTCGGCCTTGAGCTTGCTTGCATGATCCAAGCACGCCCTTCTCAGGTAGGTGGAGACGGCGCCGAACATTTTGTTCCGACGGAACCGCTCTTCACCGTACTCGGAGATGGTGATCTGCTCATAGGGGTTGAAGTAGGACATCACCATGGGAACCAACCTACTGATGATGTGCCTAGCCTCATCATGGACGTGCTGCGGCATCCTCGACCAAAGCAAGCCGAGGCCAGCCATGGCCGACCCGAACCCTACCCACTTCTCCACAGATAACGCCATGAATGCGCACTGCGGCCCCTTCTCACCTAATCAAGCTAGCTAGCTCTCTGTAATGATCAAGCTAGCTAGCTCTCTGTAATGGTTGCCGTTTGTGGCTGTGTATGTTTACTGTTGCTTCTATGCCCTCGGCTTATATAATCGGTGATTTGGCGTGTAAATTATCCGCACGGCATGATCGAAATTTCGTCGAAGCAAGTGCAAGAGGTGCTATTTAAACTAAGACGACAAGAAGTAGAAATTGCGGGGCGGCGCTAAAAGACAAGAGTAGATGAAAAGCAACTTTAGGCTTGGGTATCAGCACGAGTGGGGCCTATCACCACCAATGTTGGGTTTAGCAATTAATTAGGATTTTGTTTGGAATCTTTGGATGCGTGGGTTGACCAGAGTTGAGAGCCAACGTCAATAGGACGGATGGTTAATTGCTATTTATAAAAAAATTGACATGCATGTCACCTAAAAGCTGGAGGCCAAGATTTTTGCAGGCGAAAACACAAAGGTACAGTACGTGTTAACACTAGTGAAAGAAGATTTGTACAGGCGAAAGGCAAAACTTTTATCAGGCCGGCGAAAGATTGCACAGTCCGTGTTAATTTTATTAGGGATGGTGTCGACAGAATATGCTCGGCAGTCCACCGAGGGGTATCTCGCGATGGTAGATTTGTCGGTGGGGATGCGTGTAATCAGGAACCAGATGGTGACACAAGGCGCAGAGACAGCGATTTAGACAGGTTCGGGCCGTCTGATCGACGTAATACCCTACGTCCTGTGTCTTTGGTGTATTGTATTGAATATGAGATGTATCGATCTGTCCACTAGGGGACCCCTGCCTCTCCTTATATACTCTGGAGGGGTATGGTTATAAGTAAAGTATCCTATTTGGTACTATACAATAGCTTACGGTGCATGCCGAGCAGCGCCGTGCACGCCTTGATCTTGTGGGCTGGGCCACCTCTAATGGTGCGGCCCATGTCTTGTCTTGAGGATACCGGGGGCCATACCCCCACAGCTAGTCCCCGAGCCTGACAGTAGGTGATGTAGTCACGTGGTGCCAGGGTCAGAAAGTAGAAAACCAGCCGAGCAGGCAGCCAGTCCCCGGGCGTAGCCTCGAGATGAGAAAAGCGCACATTCACCGCAAGGTGAAGTGTGCCCACTTAGTCCCCGAGACTGCTGGAAGATGAAGAATGAATCTTGTAGCAGGGTCAAAGAAAAAGAAGTCTGAAAGCTTGCCGACGTCGTCTGACATGCGCGTATCAAGACCCCAGACGTGCTGCCCAAAATCAGCAACCTGATCCGAACAGCATGGAGTAGCTTGATAGCACACCGATGAGACGTAGCAAGATCCGACTACCAAGGGAGCACCAAGGAGTCCCCAGCATAGCTAGCGATGTCTGAGCACCGAGGAGTCTCCGGTGTCGCTGGCGATGTTCGAGCACCGAGGAGCGAGGAGTCCACGGTGTCGCTAGCAATGTCTGAGCACCGAGGAATAAGAGTCCCCGGCGTCGCTGGCGATGTCCGAGCACCGAGGAGCGAGAGTCCCCAGCGTCGCTAGCGATGTTCGAGCACCGAAGAGCGAGGAGCGAGGAGTCCCCGGCGTCGGCGGCGATGACCGAGAACCGAGGAGCGAGGAGTCCTGGCGTCGGCGGCGATGACCGAGAAACGAGGAGCGAGGAGTCCCCGACGTAGGCGGCGATGACCGAGCACCGAGGAGCGAGGAGTCCCCAGCGTAGGCGGCGATGACCGAGCACCGAGGAGCGAGGAGTCCCCGACGTCACTGGCGATGACCGAGCACCGAGGAGCAAGGAGTCCCGGCATCAGCGGCGACCGAGTATCTTGAGGGAGCGAGGAGTCCCCAGCGTCGGCGGCGATGACTGAGCACCGAGGAGTGAGGAGCGAGGAGTCCCCGGCGTAGGCGGCGATGACTGAGCACCGAGGAGTCCCCGACGTAGGCGGCGATGACCGAGCATCGAGGAGCGAGGAGTCCCCGGTGTCGGCGGCGATGACCGAGCACCGAGGAGCGAGGAGCGAGGAGTCCCCTGCGTCGACGGCGATGACCGAGCACCAAGGAGTGAGGAGTCCCTGGCGTCGCTTGCGGTGACCGAGCACCGAGGAGTCCCCGGCGAAGCTGGCGATGTCCGTGCACCGAGGAGTGAGGAGTCCTTGGCGTAAGCGGCGATGTCCGAGCACCGAGGAGTCCCTGGCGTAGGCAACGACGTCCGAGCACTGAGGAGTCACCAACGTAGGCGACGATGTCCGAGCACCGAGGAGTCCCCGGCGTAGGCGGCGATGTCCGAGCACCGAGGAGTCCTTGGCGTAGGCGGCGAGGTCCGAGCACCGATGTAGCTGACGACGTCCGTGCGATGAAGTGTGCCCACTTAGTCCTCGAACACGAAGAATCCGAGGGCCGAGGAGTAACCGACGTAGCTGGTGATGAAGCACGAGCGGCGAACAGTCCGATCAACTGGTCGGCGACGGAGTCCATGAACCAAGCGGTCCGACCAGTTGATCGGTGGAGAAGTCCGAGCACCAGGTGGACGATGATCCTGCAATACAAACATGTAGAACATGTAGTACATGATGTAAAAATAAATGAACTCTGTAGAAAAATCAGCAATGGTGATGAAACGACGTATGCAGTTCGGCGATCAGTTGGCGTGAAAATATATTTATGTTTAATATAAACCGCCCGAACAATTAGTGTGTAGCTGAGTCTCCAGCCCTAGCTAGCCCATAGTCCGTAACGTCGAGCGCGGAGCCTGTGCACGTGTAGGAGAAACAGACGTCACCAAGGAGCCGCTGCCGACCACGCAGAGCGTGGAGCCCGTAGCACGTGTAGGGAGGAGCCGGAGACAGGGCCATCTCTGGAGGCGTCCGAGCATCAACAGGACTGTTCGAGGGTTCAAAAAATCGTTTAGAGAGCAAATATGGAGAAAACAGTTCGGAGAAACATTATGACGATATACGGAGATTGAAGAATATTTAGAAGAATATTAAAACATGACTTAGCTTTAGACAGAATGTCTGGTCAGCGGCGTATGGCGTTATCTGGTCGGCAACGCGGGCAGCTCGCTTGCAGCTCGACGGCGACAAGGGATGTCGGTGAGGGCCGCCGAGTAATGACGACGAGACAACGGCGAGGGGCGTCGGCGAAGGATGTCGGCGAAGGCCGCCGAGCGGTGATGACGAGTCGATGGCGAGAGATGTCGGCGAACGATGTCGGCGAAGGCCGCCGAGCGGTGACGACGAGTCGACGGCGAGGGACGTCGGCGAAAGATGTCGGCGAAGGCTGTCGGCGAAGGCCGCCGAGGGCAGCGGCGGCGAGTCGTCGACGAGGGCTGACGAGAGCATCGGCGGCGAGTTGTTGGTTCCGAGATCGGATCTGCTGTCGCAGGGGCTGGTGTAGCAGCGATGAATCGTCGTCGTGGACTGGGATGGATCTCCACGAGATTGACGACGAGAACGCGTTGTTGATTTGAGATCCATCTGGCTCGCCATGGATCAAGCACACACCCCTATCTGGCGCGCCAACTGTCGACAGAATATGCTCGGCAGTCCACCGAGGGGTATCCCGCGATGGTAGATTTGTCGGTGGGGATGTGCGTAATTAGGAACCAGATGGTGACACAAGGCGCAGAGACAGCGATTTAGACAGGTTCGGGCCGTCTGATCGACGTAATACCCTACGTCCTGTGTCTTTGGTGTATTGTATTGAATATGAGATGTATCGATCTGTCCACTAGGGGACCCCTGCCTCTCCTTATATACTCTGGAGGGGTAGGGTTATAAGTAAAGTATCCTATTTGATACTATACAATAGCTTATGGTGCACGCCGAGCGTGCGCCGTGCACGTCTTGATCTTGTGGGCTGGACCACCTCTAATGGTGCGGTCCATGTCTTGTCTTGAGGATATCGGGGGCCATACCCCCACAGATGGGGAGCCGCTTGGGTAAACAGTTTTAACCAGGCGGGCGTCTCAGGATCGCCAACCGTGTAAATTAACATTTACCCGGGCGGCAAACTCAACGAGCCACCCGTATGTAATGAAAGTTTACACGTCTCTGCTCAAAAGCAAGCCCAACACCATCACCAGGCCCAGGCAGGCCTAACGATCTCCTTTCCAACTCCATGCGCCGTCCTGGTCAGGCCCACGGGCCCGATGACCGTGACACACTAGTAGTTCAAGAGACTGATAAAATAATCCCAAGTCTCGCATTATTACATTATAACTGCAAAGTCTTATGTGCAAATCCATTTGAGACACTGAAGCAACAACACATTACACATGCATATAGACAACACTCCATCCAGATCCGCTTGGAATAGTTCAACTTCCGTAGGAATTGGAAGAAACTGATTTCCACACAGGTCTCACCGACTGTAAATGAAGTTACAAACTACAGCGAAAATGCCACAGAGTACATACAGAGGAACCAATATACTACTACATGTTGAAGAAAAACAGAAATCAGAAGGAGAACTGCTCGTATGCTGCTTTTACCGGATGCGTCCTGTTCTGTGTTACCTAAATGAACTGTAATAGGCGTTAGTGCCCTTCCTTTTCTCTCTGCTTAGTTGAAACTTCATGCTGTTGTCTCTCCAGTAGATGACTGATACTGAGACAGGAAGCAGTACTACTAGGAGCTGGTTACCTTTCTGTTTTGGGAATTTTTCTAATATGCTGCTGGACACTGCCAACGTCGAAATTTGCTGGCGCACATTACAAATTTCTGGTTCTTTGTCCAGAGACACCGTATTGATTATTTTATACATTTTTCAGTTTTGGAGAGAGAGAATGTGGGGGAAATGTCTAAATTGCCCTCGTCTTCAACCTCTGGTACCTCCTTCCCCGAGCTCTTCACCACACCGTCCCGAGTCTGACTGTGCGCCGCCGCCACCATGTCCAACGCCGCGCCATGCCCTCATCCCGGTGAGGCCGCGTGCCCCTAGCCAGGTACCTGTCCCCTGGTTGCGCCCTCGCGCCCCTGTCTTCGCTGTCCGCCATGGTCGCACCCCGTCCCTGGCGGCCGCGTACCCCCGACCATGTCCCCGTCCCTGGCCGCGCCCCCATCCCCCACAAGAAGAGAAGACCGGTCGCCGCCGGAGTCACGTTGTCCCTGCAGGAGAAGGCGGGCTTGGGTCTCCGACCGACGAGGACCGCGTAGAGCTTTTCCGAGCTCCAACGTTGGCCGCGGCGAGGCAGAAGGCGAGCGCACGACTGATGCCGTCCGAAAGAGCCCCACCGCATGCACCTACGCCTGCACCGCCGGATCTGTAGGAGACGGACGAGGACGAGCTTGTCCGGGCTCCGGCGAGCCCGCCCCCGGCACGACATCGGCAAGGCCAAGGATCAGAGGGAGCAGGCCACGGGCGGGCGGCTTGCAGCTCCGCAGGCTAGCGAGCGCCTGGCCGGAGTGCCTCCCACCCTCACCCCCCGACCCAAACGTGCACAACACTTACCCATGGCAGATAGACAGAGGTGGAAGATGACTCGTAGGGGCAATTTTGTCTATTCAACGCCCTTTTTCTCTCCCAAACCATGAAAAATGAATATTTTAATGGGTGTGGTGTCCAGCAGCCAAGAATCATGATTTCATAAATGATACTGGGCATATTTTGGAGTTGGCGGTGTCCAACAGCATATTAGACCTTTTTGCAATGTCCTTGAGCAAAATTTCCCTTATGTTTTCTGTTCTATCCTCTTATCAGACGCTCGTATTTCCGTTTTCTCTATAAATGGAAATGGGGAATGGCCTCGCGTTGAAAAAAAAATACACTACTACGTGACTTCAGTCTTATTAGAAGTACGTGGCAATGACAATGGGGGCACACATCATCAGACATTATATTCTGACCTGAGGGACACAGATACATGCTGTGGTCAACAGCGTTACACGGGACGCGAGGAGCGATGTACCATCCTGTGGTATGGATTGCCAAGCTGTAACTCTTGTTCTCTCATCTCCCTTCGGCAATTGAGTTGCCTCCAGAGACGAGACGACTGATCATTCCTGGTGCAACGAGTGTATATGGAAACTGTCACAGTGTGTATGGAAACTGTCAAGAAAATGGTGTTGACCCCAATGAGTTCGTCCAAGCGCGACGCTTTAGCTTCGTTACTCTCGACGGATCTGGTGAATGTGGAGGTGATTCTTGAAATCTAAGTTCAGGCATCTTCGTCGTCTGCTTCCTCGGGTCGCCGATAGTGTGGTTTCATAGTTAACTAATTGCAGCTTTTTTTCCTGTGGTAATCTCAGGATTACCACAGAGCCATGTACTTTGAAAACTCTGCTTTCTCTTAAGAAAAAAAAATGGTGTTAACCACAAGCAGAATTTCAAGCAACATAGTAGTAGTGATTACCATGTCTTGTAGAGCTAAGCGTGGCCTAATTGGATCAACTTTCAGCTTCTGTAATCTCACATTGAATCGCTGCGGCAGCCTTCTCACCAACTTCTTGAGCATCATCTTCAGCTCCAGCATTGGTTCTGCTCGAAGTCCCAATTGTAATTTCTGTCACCTCATCATCAGCTTCTTGAACATCATCTTGTTCAATGCCGTTGATGAAGAGGTTGATCGGGTTGCGATGCTCGGCAACTTGTTTGGTCACTGCCTCCACTGTCATCTTTACGCTGGGGCTGTTGAGGTAGTGTGCGTTGTAGCACAGGGCAATCTCTGTAAGCCTGTGGAGGTTGCTAATACCTGAAGGAACACAGATCTGCCTAGCTGGGGTCGAACAGAACTTTAGTTGGAGGTATGTGAGCTTCGGCATAGCTCCTGCCTCGAAAGTGAGCCATGGCATTGGGCCGTCGACCGAGAATCTCTGAAGCTCACGGAATCCTTTGTTTTCAATCACTATGGCATGTTCAGGAATGAAGTCCAAACCTAGTATTAGGCACTGCAACTCGGGCAAGTCTCCGAGTTTATGCAGATCATAGGTCACTTGATTGTTACAGATGGTGATTTGCACGAAAGATAGATAAAACAAGAGCCCATTGATCCACTGTGGAACACATGCAAATCTTCCTGCTGTCACCTTGAACTTCTCAAGCCTCCTAAGCGCATCATACTCTTCAAGGAAGCCCAGGAACTCCATGGCGCAGCCGAGTCCACAGTGAATGGTCAGGGACTCGAGGTTTTTCCACCTGCCGATGGATGACAGGAACGCTTCATAGTAGTCTCTGTCAGTGGACAGGTGAAAGGAGCATGTAACTGCGAGCACCCTCAACTCTCGTAGATCACCGAGAGCCCTGACCAAGCTGAATGTGTTGGGTCAAATCAACAGTGGGTGTCTGTAGATTGATAAGATGCCGTACATCGTGCGGCATACCCTACGGGAACCGATCCTTCGTCGAGTGCAATTTTTTTTTTTGACGAGGCTTAAAAGTCGGACACTCGGTAAAGAGCTATTTTGCCGAGTGCCGCACTCGGTAAAGATATACACTCGGCAAACCCTGACGTTCCGCAAAAAGCGGCGTCAGGTAACGGCCGCCGCCTGCCGTCCAGGTTTGCCGAGTGCCAGCGGGTTGACAGTCGGCAAACCACTTTTTTGTCAAGTGCCAGACCCTGACACTCGGCAAAGAATAACGACAAACTATTTTTTTTCCACTTTTGAACTCCAAAATTTTTCTCGAGTCCTCCTATAGTACATGAGACTCCATGTTAAAATTCGGTACATTTTTATGGTTTTTTTGCTATATTTAGTTAATTTATTTCATTTAATTGATTTTTTCGGAAAATGCAAATTTGAACTGCACGTGCATCGAATAATGGAATTTAATGATTCAAAAAATGATATTCATGGTATTGAGTGTAGTGTGAGGCCGTATCTAGGAACGGACCCGAAATTTCGAACATCTTGTTCACGAAACATGACCACGAACTTGCGGACGAATTGTTTTTAAATTCTATAAAATGCAAACCAAGTCTAAAAATCATGAAACTTGTCGAGATGTCATGTGGAGATGTCCTGGTTTGTAAGCATCGTACGTGATAACGTGCACCAAACCTTCTCAAATTTTTATCATATCCTCCACATACGATATCATGACATCTCGACAAGTTTCATGATTTTCAGACTTCGTTTGCATTTTATAGAATTTAAAAACAATTTGTCCGCAAGTTCGTGGTCATGTTTCGTGAATAAGATGTTCGAAATTTCGGGTCCATTTCTGGATACGGCCTCACACTACACTCAATACCATGAATATCATTTTTTGAATCATTAAATTCCATTATTCGATGCACGTGCCGTTCAAATTTGCATTTTCCGAAAAAATTCAATTAAATGAAATAAATTAACTAAATATAGCAAACAGTTCGAGAAATGTACCAAATTTCGACATGGAGTACCAAGTACTGTAAGAGGACTATAGAAAAAGTTTAGAGGTCAAAATACAAAAAAACAAATTGGCTCACCGAGTGTCATCTTTTGACACTTGGCAAACATGCTCTTTGCCGAGTGCCAGATGCCAGGCACTCGACAAAGTGTTCCCTTTGCCAAGTGTCCGTGGGGACACTAGGCAAAGAGCGTGCCAATTTTTTTTAAAAATGTTTGCCGAGTACCTCTCCGCCCGGCACTCGGCAAAGTGGTATTTTTTTAAAAAAATACGATGTAGTGCGGTTTAGGGTTTTGATTTCAAAAAAAGGAAACACGTTTGCCGAGTGCCCCGATCTGGCACTCGGCAAACCGGCAGCCCTAGTCCTTTGCCGAGTGCCAGATCGGGGCACACGGCAAATGTCCCATCCACACTCAAACCGGCCAACCGTTACCTCCCTCCCTCCCCACACGCGACACGCCGCGCGCGCCCCGCCGTCCGCCCGCCCCGTCGCCGGCCGAATTGTCCACATCCAACCGCCCACCAGACGTTGCCGTCGCTGCGCATGGCGGCGTGTCCCCACGCAGCATGCCCCCATCGCCTTCACCCGCCCGCCACCGACCGCGCCCGCCGCCCCACCCCACCGACACGCCTCGCCACTCCGCCGCCACAGATGGCGGCGCGCCCACCGACAAGCGACGTGTTTCACCGCCTTCGCCCGCCCATTAACGACGCGCCTCCGCCACCGCCTGGACACTGTGGCCCACAGCGCCCGCCGCCACGCCCACCGCTCCAACTCCACGGCCTGCGCCCCACCTGCAGTGCAGCCTCAGCCCTCTCGGCCGCCATCACCACCACGGCCATCCTCTCCTTGTCCCCAAGGCCGCCTCCACCGACCCCGACGCCTGACGACGCCCCCCACCCCGACACCAAAGGTGAGTAGTAGAGTGTGATGGTAGTATGTTTTAGTAGAAGTAGAGTTCGGTAGAGTAGTAGTAGTAGGTGGTTGTGGTGGTGGTAGTAGTAGTATAGTAGGTGGTTGTGGTGGTAGTAGTAGTAATAGTGTCGGGTACCTTAGAACGGGGTACCCTGAGCGAACATCAAAGGGTCACTTAAGCCCCATCAAAAACAAAGCTAGAAGGTGCCGAACTCGAACCTGGCAGAGGCCTGGCCTGACGCAATCGCATCTCTCATGGGCCTCTGCAAGGAGTCCTCGCAAGATTCGATCTGGCCTTAAGCCGGAGCCTCATTATCCGCCTCTGCAGACGAGGCCTCATTCTCCGTGT